TGTCCGTTATGTGTCAGCGCGGTACAATGTTTTATGCGGCGCATTAAATAAGAATATTGCAATGAAAAACTTCCGGGGCTCGCTACTATTTTCAAGCACGCGAGCGAGTACGTGAAGTAATAGTGCTGCAGACATAGAAATTTTTAATCAACGCACGATCGGGGACAAATGAAAAAGTCATACCTGTGAATTTTCATGATTACGAAACCACTAGTCCGAAGCAACTGTAAAATGATTGCATGAAAAACAGTTTTTTGTAACGAAAGATATTTTTCATTATTACGTGACTATAAGTAATGCACATGAAAAAGAAGATCGAATTGATATCAAAAAGCAACGAATAAATGAGCAAAATTTGTATGTTTAATTTTGCAATATATTTTGTAAAACACATATCTAATATATTTAAAAATAATTTTATGCATGTCATTTTATAAAATAAAACATGGACAACAAAAAATAACATAGAAAGAGAAATATTTATTAACGGATGTATATCCTTATATCTGCGAGATGTTATATTATAATAAATTCTTAAATTTCATATTTTTGATAAACATATTTTTTAATTTTACATATATTTTTACTTCTGCAGTGTTGATTATAATTTAGCACGTTACATTTTTACTTCAACATATTTCAAATATTCTATTTATCTAAGAAATATGTTTAATCTAAATGGGAATTAAAAATATTGTAAATACAGTAAATCTCTCTTTCTCCCCTCCCTCCCCCCCTTCTCTCTCCATCTATTTATCTATCTCTCTGCATGTTATTTTTATCGCGCGTTTTTTATAAAATGACAAATACACATCAATTTATTCCTTTTAAATATTCTATATACATGCTTTACAATAAATTGCAAAACTGAAAATACCGTAGCTATAACAAGTCTTAATACACGTGAATTAAATGAAACAGTCTGATGAAGAAGAATTATTATATAAAAGCATGTTAAATAAATAGACCATTTGTCCGCCGCAGATTAAATTTTTTGCAAGTCTTGCGTGAATGTTAGGTGGAAACGGTTGGCAAACGCATTAACTCTGGAAAAGTCAATGGTGATAATCACATCTGTCACGAACACGTCGAGCCCTGTGCCCATAAGGAATCTCTCTGATATATTTGTGCTGAGGTCAAATGGTCGATGCAAAAATCATTTCCGTAAAACGTTTCGCAAGGGAAACGAGGCCTCGGCTGATATATGCCCGAGCCTTACCACTGAAAATCTGGGACGCTCGGCTCTTCTTCGCACAATTGGGAGATTTTCAAACCGTCCGATTCATGACAGACGTCATTTTTTATCCCCGCCACTCGGCAGATAAGAGTATCCACGTGTTTTCGGTAGCAGTGAAGGGAGGGGAAGGGAAGAGGACAAAAAAGAGAGGAAAACGAGCGATACATGAGGTCGATAATCCTCGCCGGAGGGTTATTCCGCTAGTCCGACGCGGCTCGTGTATTAATCGTGAATGAAAAAAAAAAACCCCCCCGCAGTTCAGTTCGAAACGCGAGCACGATGAACGGCATTTACATAGGCAATTCGCAACGCGACGGTAATTGTAAACGCATATCCGCGCCAGATGGTCCGCGATTTTATCTTGAAAAGCCGGCAAAAAGGCTCGTCGTCCGCCACAAACGAAATTCATGGCGCAACGTTTATAGCGACGCTCAGCCCAACGTTCTCTCTGCCGCGAAAAGATAAAATTTCGTGAGAAAAGCGCGCACGCGCGCGGTAATATTTCCTTCACAAATTTATCTGCTGTTATTCAAGCGCGATGAAAATAAACGTCACTCGCGGCTCGGTCGATGCGGTGCAATGTGCGGTGGCACTCTCCTCGATCGAAATCAAGAGGGGTAGGTAAACGCGAGTCGCGTGCCGACCGATTAATCAGAACGCACATACTTTTAATTCGCGCGATTTTGCATACATGTTGACCACACCACCGTTCATTTGACGCCGCGAGAGGCAGCGGTGCGAGATGCGCACAGCTGCATCGTATTTATGGAGTTGGCCGGCAAAGTGAACGAGTATATCACTGCGCGAATGTAGTATCGCATTGGGTAGCCGCAAATTCGCGCTCCGTACTTCATGTGGTGCAAACCCTCGATCATCCTGTAACTGACCTCGTTTACGAAACTGTCAATACGTCAATTATTAAGTAGTTGTACTAATAAAAATTTTAAATACCTTCAAATTTCCAACCCGATTAAAGCATTTTTTTGGTTTTGTCTTAGAATTTATGTTAGGAAACGTTACTTTTTTTGTTATTTGTTTTCACTTACTCATAAATTATGTTATATTAACACTAAGAAACATTAAACATCAATTTAATACAAAATTTTCAAATAACGTTATCACATTATGTTAAATTATCATTTGGATATATTAAAAATTTAACACAAAATTTTACTAAAGACTTGAGTGAATCGTTTGTAACAGTTATAAAATGTTTCTTACTGTGTGTATATATATATATATATATATTCTTTTATAGAATTAATCTTAAATTTACTGGCAGGATCGAAAAGAATTTCTCAAACGGCGAGAAATGGCACAAATTTTTAATCAAAATGCAGTAGGGAATCGAGAAAAATTAATTAAAAAAACGCGATAATAGAAATATCACTTGATTAAAAAATGCTGTTATACTTAGCCGTAGGGAATGACAATTTATCGCTATCGTTTGTCGTCCAAGTGTATAGCCGAGAGATACACCGTTTTACCGGGTAACAGATTTTTCAAGACAGTTAAACGTACGGGGATTTAATTAACTGGGCTTTCGTCTCCTATTCACGGTTCTTTTGTACCGCGGAGTGACCCATCCACCGCTGCCGTGACAACAGGAGCATCAGTGCTTGTCAATTTCATCCTTTGTCATGCAAAAGCACACAAGACTTTGCGCCACTATTATAACGCGTCGTCCATAGAATATACTGTTTTATTAATGCGATTATACACCCACGTACGACAATGGCGGGTGCGCGTGTACAACGAGTCAAGATTTTCTTTTTCTGTCTCTCTCTCTCTCTCTCCCTCCCCCTCCCTCTCTCTTCGCCGCGTATTTTTCTAAAAATGAAAAAAATGAAGAGAGGAAGAGCAGCGGAGAACAGCGAGAGCAGCCAGGCGTTTCATGACGTTTCATAACTGCGATGTATACGTGGCCAGAAGGCGCGCGCATATAACGTTTAAAAAAAAAAGAAAAAGAAAAAAATACCATCAGCCGGCATCCGACTGTATATTTATTCACGGTGACATTTTTACCGCGACGCCCATACAGCCGCACGATGCGCAGAGATGCGTTTGCGAGGATGCAGTTCGGCGCGCCGCTCACAGTAAATCGGGAAGAGAAAGAAGAAAGTTCTGCGCGTCAGAGGCGACCGGCGCTCGTCCAACTTGGCAGCGGAACGATACACTTCTCAAACTCGCATAATGCTTTTTTATGAGCGCGTCGTATCTATCTACCTACGTATACCTACCTACCTACGGAGACCATTGTCCTGCAGCAAACTTTCCCGGAGACTTGCGGAGTTCGCTGCAGCTGCAAACTGCAGCATCCCAGCGCACTAAACCGACATACGTATATCCGGCGACATCCCACGGTACTCAGGAAGGATAGAGGGATGGATTTTTCGCGAACAAATGCGCTCGAAAAAAGGACACTGTTGTTTTCCGAATATCACTGAAAGATGAAGAAAACAATGCAGCGATAATATTCCGTTTGCGATGTTTTAGCGAAAATGTATAAGGGAAATATAAAATTTGAGAATAGAGCTTTCGGTACATATAATTTAAGTATAATTTTATTGGCGCAATAATTTTATTCACGTTTCGTGACATATTTTTGGTATATATAATTTCGGTATACAATAATAATTTCATTCATGTCGTAATATAATTCTTTCCTGCCTTTTTTGATTGAGAAGACTTAGAAAGATTGATATAATATTCTTTTTTCTCTTGATTCTTTTCTCATATTGATTATAATACTGAGATAATATATTTTTATCATACATAGTTTTATGCAATTAAATGTCATTATAGATCAGTATAATGAAAAAAATTATAAAACTGAGAATTTTTTAATTATTAACAGAGTGGAGCAAACTTTAAACTTTTATTAAAATAAAATTATACATATTTAATGTATGCTGTATATTCTAAACTCATCTATTTCAAGATTTTTTTGGTGAAAAAGATTGAAACATTGCCAGGGAAGCACTTCGTTTTATGTTGAATATTTAAAGGACTGCACTGAAAAACCTGGTATTTCGGGTTACAACATTTTCGAACAAAGTTGTCGATAAGCCGATTTTCATGTACTCGAAACCCGTTGAATTAATGCTCACTCAGCTTTCGCATTGTGCGTTTGCATACTTTGAAGCATATAATATTCGGTTTTAACCGAAAGTATGTAAAGTATTTTCAAATCGGTTAGCTAAAGTATTTATTATTTTTAAAAATTAAAACAAATAATGAGTTTTTACACCGATTTAAATACGAATATGGCTGTTAACGAAGTTTTTGATGCCATAATTGATAAACATTAATTAATCTATTTCATAATTTGTTGAAAAGTATCAAAGATATTTGATATTTTTAGACAATAATATTTTTAGTCTTTTGCGTTTGTGTAAGAGCTACTATGAGATTGTCTGATATTTCAGTAGAAAAATATTTTCATTTTACCTTTATGATTTACTTTGGTCCGACTGCGTATATATTTCTGTATGCATACTATTATTGTTTATGAAGTTAAAATAAAATGAATTGTAAGAATTCAAATATCGCGTTTCTTTCTTAAATTTTCTTTTGGATTCTATAATTATTCCAAATATTTTATAGAACAATCTCATTGAATTTTGCCGTTTTTTAATTAGAATAAAAAAAAATTGTATAATCTGATTCTTTTTACATTAAAATTTTCTTCGTATTATGTGAAACGTTATATTTAATTTTTCGTGCAAAATAATTCACAGTTGCTGTATTTTTTATTTTACAGGTCTCGAGAAGTGCAGGGATACTGTCACACTTTGTCAATCTAAATATAGTGATACCAGAGGCGTTTATATTAGGAAGCGACGAGCATCACGTCGACGTAGGGTCTATCATAAATCTCGTGTGCATAATAGAGAAGGTAAGACACGCTACATGCCGCATTTGCGAGACGCTTACTTTATGCAGATACGAGCGAGCTCGCTAATAAATGTAAATAACAGAAATTTCTTGCGATAACGCAGAGACTATGCACGCAGTTTTCCTTTTAAACCGACCTCCTTTTCATCTCTCTACACAGTTACGCCGCGAAAGCTTGCGCGTTTACACAGTATACCACGCGTTGCACGGATATTAACAAGTATCGATCGTTTTGTACCATGTTTGATCATACCGGCGTTTTAAATAATTTACATTTTTAATATGTTTACATTTTTAATATGTTTACACGAGTCGATCGGTGTCGTACACATCGCGAAATTTTATTTTACAAATATAAAATTGTTTTTATGAAATAAATTAAAGACGATTAATTTGATCTGATTTTCATCTTTATTAGCATCATTGCCCTGTCACTTGCTGTTTACCATTCTTGTAATACTGAAAAATACGCTGTTTTAAATATCTATATTAATGGTCAAAATGTTCCATTTTTCCATTGTGTTTTTTTTTTAATAAAAAAATATATTTGTTGTAAATATATTTCCTTTATATAGAATTTTTACAAATTCTTGAATCACAATTCAATCAATCATTTTCTTAAATAATCTTATAGTAAATATCAGGACAGGTAATATTTCTAAAAAATATATAGATCTCATGAAAAATTGCCTCTAATCTGTCTGAAAAAGATCATCTTCAAATTTTAAATTTCAATATTTTCCGATTGTAGGAATAACTTGCATTATGTCTAATTAGCGTTAAATTGGTTACATGAATTTTTAATGTGAAAGCAAAGCCTCGGTGATACGCCAAGCGAGGATTGCGTTGCAATGTAATTTTTCCATTTCATAAACAAAATTGCAATATGCAAGGCGTATCCCTCGGGACATTCGCATGCGCGCGGGATTAATTATCATCAAGATGCGTTAATAGTAACCAGCTTCGCCGACTCGTTCTCATACGCTCGCGAATACGTGGCTCGGCGGTATGACATTAACAAGAGTAATTCGCGCGTATCGTGCTTGTAATCCCGCATTCGTCGTTTCATTCGTAACATTTGACCTATATCCCTGTATAGATTATTAACGTTTCCAGAAAGCGCGCGAATACACGCTGCCGTACTTTCCCTTCAAATATCGTAGCATTTCCCGTCCAAGGCACAGCTCGGCATTATACGATGTACATATGCCTGCGATATTTCAGTCATTTTATCGGATTCTGCCGCTTGTCTGCGGATTCCGCAATATGCAAACACGGCGCCGTACTTCCGCCCTTACTCGATATTCGCGGCGCTGTTCAACGACGACGAAAGAAGAAAACGCGCGGGATCCGATGACGTTGATTCTATTTTAATTGGCAACTCTGTATACCAGATGCCCATTAATTAAACTGATAAATTAAAACCGCTGTGCCCGTGCCCGCGTAACTGTGGTGCGGCCGGAAATTGATTAAATTCGTGTTCCGCTCGACCTTTCGGCTGCGTGCCGACTATTCTCAATTTAACGGGGCGCCACCGAGTCACTTTATTCTTTTATACCATTTCAATACGTATGTATGTGTACGTGTTGATGCAAAAGTTTTTCCTTTCGAAGTGTCTAGAAGTCAGGTTGACGTTATTTCTTCGTTTAATTCGTGTTCTACTTATGGTACAGCCGACGAAATAAACATCATTAATTCTGCGATTGTAGTTCGTAAGGCATTGTTATTCTGAATTCATTAGAAAAATTCGAGATGCAAACAAAGCGAAATGGCGCGGCGCAGAAATACAAGTCTTGTTTATGTTTCTTACTCCTGTTGTATATATAATTCTACAGCACTTTGCACCACTTTTATGTAAATTTAAACATTCCGTCCATGCTTTTTCTTCACCCATTATTGTACGAGAATAAGTTATAAGGAAATTAAAGAAAACAACAAATTAGCCCAATATAGTCAAAAAAGATACTCTCGAGTGTTCTAAAACAACATCTTCATGTAATAATAGAATTATTCTGCTATTACATTAGTTTGCATAAAATCCTATTAAATATTAGAGAACATTTAATTATTAGAATTTTCTTGCGACTTCCACTGCAGAGAATAAGTTATAAGAAAATTAAAGAAAAAACAAAGCCCAATACAGTCAAAAAAGATACTCTCGATTGTCCTCAAATAATATCTTCATGTAATAATACAATTATTCTGCTATTCCATTAATCTGCATAAAATCCTGTTAAATATTAAAGAACATTTAATTATCAGAATTTATTTGCAACTTCCACTGCAGAGAGTCATTATTATGGACTTTTACATACGTACATAAATTATAATTCATAATTACGTTATCAGGTGTACAATTTTCGAGAAGACGTGTACGCAAAGAAAACGCGCAGTGCCATAACGTCGATTTTATAGTATGTAATTGTCAAGCCCAGCCATAAATACCGTTAATTAAACTGATAAATTAAAAGTGTCACGGTACGGGGTATACCTGAAAATTGATCGCACGCATATCCGCGCGTATGACACGTGTGACACGGATGTATATGTAGATATATGCTTGCATGCAACCGCTCTTTACTTTTCACGCGAACGTGTCGAAACGCCAGAGCCGCCGGAATTTACAAAACGCGAGTCAGCAAAAATACACCTTTGGGGATAAAAAGGTAGAGTGCACCGGAACGTCGGAGCGCTCGCTAAATAAGGGCGAGCGAAATGCGGGCTGTTTAAACTCAGGCAAGTGCAACCGGGTCGGCTTAACTTCGAAACGCAACCGCGCCTCTAATCTTACTTCGTCACGCGACCGCAGCAGTTAACTCTCTCCTTTCCGCCGAGACCGAACGGTCGGTGAACCGCATTCGGAAGAAAAGTGTGTGACGTTGCGGATCGTGGCAGGCGATACACCCCTCCCTCTTGCTACTTTTCACAAATATTTTTTGCTAAATAAGCTCGGAAATGGCGATATGTAAATTCAAATTGCACCGATATGTATCGATTAATAATAACAACGCAATTCGTGTTTTTAACCGCCAATATAAATTCACGCTTCATTGGCTAATACAATGTATATATCGACGCAATGTATCTAGAATTATAAAAGTAATATCGGGCCCGAACTAATTGCGTCACGATCGGTAAACAATTTCATTGTTAAATCCGAGTGAATCCACCGACGCGATAGAAACTGCATGAGAAAAAAAGAGAGTGAAATTATACTCTCCCCGCTCTCGTTCTCTCTGCGAATTGGGATTTTTTTCTCCGCGTATTTCGGATCCCACTGATCTCGCGGACGTCGTTTGCATTTTTAAGAATACAAATTACAAACTGCAATATCTCGGCGTATTTTAATGAAATAAGATTACCGTGAAATATACAGTGAAATATCACGCAACTGCGGGGTGAAGTAATTTTTGTATGGCGAAAAATCAACGCACTTAAAAAAATACAGGGTTTATTTATCAAAGAGAGAGAGAGAGAGAGAGAGAGAGAAAAGAAAAATTAAAAAGGAGAAAACAAAAATAATAAAGTAACTATGCCCTATATGACTTACCTAAATTCTGCAATTTTTTCCAATTTTTGTTGACTTCAGAATTGAAAGCTCATGATCGGATTCAAAACAGAATTTCTGAACGTTAAAAAAATATGACATTTTCAAATATTTACAGAAATGCAGTAAAAATTCGAAGAAAAAGTAGCCTCTAGGTCATATTAGATACATATGTACCCAAATATATGTTACCCTTTTTTTGTTAAAAAAATATTGGAAAAATGAAAAATAAAGTAATCCAATATTACTTTTATAAGTTTATTAACATATTGACATGTTTTTCGACATGTAAGAATACACAAGGAACTGTTTTCCAAACAATTGACTTATTTACTTGTTTACTTATCTACTTATTTTCACGATGTTCAGCAGATAAATTAGAATCCATTGTCTGGAGTAACAAAAGCACCAAAAAACATTACAATCGATATGTGTGCACTGTACACTCGGTATGCCTAGGTTGACTATATTCATTCTACCTTACAAAGGATTTTCTCTCTTCAGTTATAAACAAAATGTTAGTGTAAGACGGAAATATAAACTGTAACAGCGTAACGTATAAAACAATATAAACGGAGCTACAATAAAATGAACTACGAAAATTAATAACCAACTCTTGGTAGAAAGTAATTACTTATGAAATGTTATATCATGACCACGATGTTCTACATTTTGCTTTACTAACAATAACAGAAGAAATAAATTAAGCAATGAACTGAGTCAGACGAACAGCCTATACGACTTACTATAGTGTTATCTATTAAATTCACTGCATAATAAATGAGTAGGTCATATAGGATACTATGAGGCCATAGAGTTGAATTTTCTTATACTATTTTGATATTATATATCACAAGACAAGTTATCACAATGACATATTACCAACCTAAAAAAATTAGAAAAAAAATGACTCCCACGAGAAACTAATATTCGCCGCACGTCGTCGTTAAATTTCACGCGTGCATGTTATAGCTTTGCGTCATTGGTTACGTTATACACAATTGCCGCATCCCAGAGAGAGAGAGAGAGAGAGAGAGAGAGGGGGGGGGGAGGGGGGGGGACAGAATAGGAGATAGGAAGCGAGAGAGAACGAAGATGTACGAGAGAGAACATCGATCGATACGGGCGCGCTTACGTTCGCTCCATCCGAGCTTAAAGAGGAAATTTTGGAATTGCCACCACAGACAAAGTTTTGAACTTTAAAGCAAGAGATAAAGCTCTCCCTCATCCCCGTATTAGGGGAAAGATTTCATTGGGCCACTCGGGTATAACGTAGATAAAAGTTGCCGCGAATGGGAGACAAGTGTCTCGCCCTCTCTGAACCCTCTTTAATGCGTAATGAGTATTCTTTTACTCACGCGAATAACATGTAAATCTTGTAAAAGTTAACGTTCCCGCGTTACTTATCATCTCGCAAGGATATTTCAGTTTTTAAAAATTTACTATCGCTATCT